GATATTCACCCCCCCCCCCCCCCCCTCCCGCCCTCAGAGCAAGATCACGCGAGAGGAACTGGAGAACCAGCGCCAGCTGCTGGTGGACCTCCGACACGAGATCGGAGAGCTCAAGAGCATCCACCAGGCGGGGGTCGTGGGGGCCAAGGGAGGGGGGACGCGGGGGGGCTACGGGACGGCGATGCCCGCATCGGAGTTCTTCAAGCAAGGTGTGTGTGTGTGTGTGTGTGTTTGTGTCTTTTTTGTTAGCATCGACCGCGCTAATCGGCTGACCAACGAAAAGACGTTAGTCTCAGCGCGGTGGAAAACACCAAATGCTTCTATGGGCCACGATCTGGGACGCTGTGACCGGGCGTCATGTGTGTGTGTGTGTGTATTATTAGCATCGACGGCGCTACCCGGCTGACCAATGAAAAGACGTCAGTCTAAGCGCGGTTGAAAACACAAAACACTTCTGTCTGCCATGAACCGCTGTGTGTGTGTGTGCGTGTGTGTGTGTGTGTATTATTGGCGTCGACCGCGCTAACCGGCTGACCAACGAAAAGACGTCAGTCTCAGCGCGGTTGAAAACACAAAACACTTGTAAATGGCATGACACGCTGTATGTGTGAAGGCCTCGGGTCCGGGATATACGTACCGTAAACCCAAGTGGCTGAAGATACCACACACCCCCCCCAGGGTGATTGGTTCTGTGGGAAGAATGCTCCGTGCTCTCGAGGACGCATGGTCCATGCGCTAACCGCTATGGCACGCAAAACATAAGAGTACGCCCCCCCCCCCCCCCCCCCGGCTGGATAGATTTTTCAAAGCCCGTTCGTTGTCTTGACTGTGCAGCCGAAATGACGGTGCCGAAAGAAGCGACAGAAGGCGTTCGAACTGTCTCATCGAGAACTGGCCGAAAAAGTGTCATGATCGTTTGATTCTGGAACCCTCTTCGTCGTGGAGTATGCGAGCTTTGAAAAGCGGTCCAGGGGGTGTGGTATATTCTGCAATCTCTTAGGAGTTTACGGTACAGTATGTCCAAGGTCCAACTGGACAAGTCCGTCGTGTCAGCATGCCTCCTGCCGCCAGACAAGCTTGACCCCCACGTGCTCTAGAACAGAGGATGACGTTTACGAAACGGGATGACGAAATATTTTTTAAAAAACTGAAAATGTGCATGAGCCTTGGACGTTTCAGGTGGGGACGCGTTGTGCGGTACGTCCCGTGTACGTTTCCGTAGATACCGTGACCCGGGGTGTGTGTGGTTGGGTTTTGTGCCTGGGTTCCTGCGGGATAGGCCAGCAAGCGCCGCCTTGTGTGTTTGCGTCTAGGTTATAGCTCTGGTAGACCGAATCACGCAGCAGGGCTTGGGTATCGCTGTTGGCCTGCTTTGTACACCAAAGTAAAGCCGGAGCAGCACGTGGGTAGTTGTATGTGTGTTGTCTCTTTTGTGTTTTATTTGGAAGAATCAAGGAGGTATCTATTTGGTTCCCTCCCCTGCTTCATTAAATGGTTGGGTGGTGCAGTGTTGTCACTGCTGTGGTACGGTTATATTGTCATGTACGCCGTCTCAGTTAAGCAGCAGCAGGTGCGCATGCCTGTGCCATGACTGCAAGTATAGTATTGCCCGCTTTCCGTCCTGATGTTTTTTTGCGGGGCTCCGTCAAGTATTATGTCTACCGCCTTGCAACTCGGCCTGGTCTCGATTTGGTGTGTTGATTGCGATGGGCAAACACGGAAGTTTCTGCCACGGTCCTACTCCTGTCCTGTGATACCTCTTTTGCGTGTTTCTTGTCTTCTATTTGTCGTTCGGTTTGTGTAGGACCGAGAAAACGGCGTGCTCCCATGAACTTGATCTCCAAGCTACCTCCCTCCTGTGGCTGTGGCTGGTTTTTGTGTGCTCTCTTTTCCATTCGGTCCGACTTTTTTATTGTGGCACAGAGGCCCAAACATGATGCAAGCGTAGCTGTTACTCCTCAAGCCTGGCTGCCTTCGTTGTTCGTTGTGTGTTTTCTGTCCTTTCCAATGTCGTGTCTACTGCTGTTGGTTGTGTTTTTTCTACGAAGCGCCAACAGGGCGCACTCGTTCAACTCTTTCCTCCCCACAAAAGAATCTTGGGGGCTATATTTGTTGTCTGTCCATTCTAATTTGATTTGTGTCCGATGTCCTGCTGTTGTCGTTGTTGTTTCTGTAACAGAGGCACAAACAGGAGGTACGATAGCCGTTGAGCCCCCTTTTGAGGTTCTTGGTTGTTTGTTGTCCATTCTAATTTGATTTGTGCCTTTGTTCTGGGGTTGCTGTTGTCAACAGAGGCACGAACAGGAGGTACGATAGCCGTTGAGCTCCCTTCTGAGGTTCTTGGTTGTTTGTTGTCCATTCTAATTTCATTTGTGCCTTTGTTCTGGGGTTGCTGTTGTCAACAGAGGCACGAACAGGAGGTACGACGTCCGTTGCGGAGGCGCCCCCGCCGGGGAAGCTCACCTCGGAGCAGCACGTCCGAATCCAGCAGGTGAGCGAACAATTTTATGTGTGTGTGTGTGTCTTGTGTTTTTTTGGTTGTTGTCCGTGTCCCAACCATGCGCTAGCCACCCCGCGTGGTGCATCAAATCTATGCGTGCCCATCTGTGTGCACGATCGAATAAAAAAAAGTCAAGTCTTGCTTTCTATTCTGTCTTCACCGACCCAACATGTACACATACAAAAACATGTACCAAAAAAACGGACAAGCACGTTTTTGCTTCCTGCCTCTCGCCCCTACCTGTTCCTTTTTTTT